TACTTGGTGTGTGGTAATTCAGATAATTACCACTCTTGAAGAATTACACCCCGCCTTTGGCCTGATGGATTTTGTAGTTCTCGCGTATTTGCAACCTATCAAAATCCCAACGTGTTTTGGAAATCCTTATTAGAGTCTACTTTGACCGGTCTTTTTCTCTTGTAGAGTTCACCTTCGGTCAGTGCTCTTTGAAGGTCCTGCTCATTCGGTTCCTTGTTTTGGTTTATCCGCGTTAGTTGGGTCCTCCTTTCGTTAGCTTAGTTAACCTTTTTTGTTAAGAGTCCCTCAGTGTCTCTTCAAAGTCCAGTTGTCCGGCGTCCTTGTTTAGGCGAATACGTCCTTTCTTGTTGGGGCTTTCTTCGGTTAGTCTCGTTCTTGTGTTCACTATACACTCCAAACATTTGTTTCTTAATGCTCAATTTCGCTCTTGTGTGTCTAACTCTGACCAGATATGCATATCTTTATCCCTTGTGAGTTCGCCTTTGATTAGCGTTCTTTTCTTAAAATCCACCTTCGGCTGGTACCTTTGTTGAGAGTCCCCTTCGGCTGGTCTCTTTTCATTGTAAGTTCGCCTTTGATTGGCGTTCTTCCCTTAAGAATCTACCTTCGACATAGTATTCCTTGATGAAGATTCCCCTTCGGCTGGTTTCTTTATCTTGAAGTCCACCTTTGGCTGACACCCTTAAAATCCACCTTTGGTTGGTATCTTTTGTTAAGAGTCCCATTTGGTTGGTCTCTTTTCGGTTGAAAGTTCGCCTTTGACCGACGTTCTTTTCTTAGGAATCTACCTTTAGCATAATATTCCTTGTTAAAGACCCCCCTTCGGTTGGTTTCTTTACCCTTAAAATCCACCTTCAGCTGGTATCTTTTGTTAAGAGTCCCCTTCGACTGGTCTCTTTTCGGTTGAAAGTTCGCCTTTGACCGACGTTCTTTTCTTAGGAATCTACCTTCGGCATAATATTCCTTGTTAAAGATTCCCCTTCGACTGGTTTCTTTACCCTTAAAATCCACCTTCGGCTGGTCTTTTCTCAGTTGAAAGTTTGCCTTTGACCGACGTTCTTTTCATTGTTAAAGATTCCTCTTCGGCTGGTTTCTTTACCCTTAAATCCACATTCGGCTGATATCATTTGTCAGGAGTCCCATTCGTTTGGTCTCTTTTCTTTATAAGTTCGCCTTCGATCAATGTTCTGTTCAGAGTCAATGTATATTTGTATCCTCAGTAAGTTCACCTTCGATTGGCGTTTCTTCGTCAGAGCCTTCGGTCTCTCTTTTGTGTATGTCTAACCTTGACCTGACATCCAGGAGATTTACTCAGATAACCATTGTAGTAAAAAAATACAGAAAATACAGAAAACCAAAAAAAAATAATACCTCGGCTTTAGAGTGCAAATTTTTGGGTTCTTTTAAGTATTTAATCTTCTTCCACCTGGAAATTTCGAAAGGCTGGTGCCAATCTCACCTTCAGGTTGAAGGCGATTAAATAGGGGCAGCAGTTTCACCCCAAAATTTGCCCTCATAATTTCTTTTATCTTGCTTGGACTTTTGCATTCATATCTTTTTATTAGTTCATCTGCACTAACATAACATGCATTTGCATTTAATAAAGTGTCGGAGGTTCAGAAGTTTGGTAGGTGTACAAGCTAGGGTTTTTTACAGTGAACTGAGATATAAATGTTCAATAAAGTTTGAGTTCCTTGGTTCGTTTCTCAAGTGGTGAATTATGAATTAGGTCCTCCTCTTCCCAAACACATGTTTTTGTGCATGATATTAGATGTGGCGCCATTGATAGGGTTCAAGTTGTTCAGTTGGGTTTCTTTCAAAGGCATGTGCATCAGGTATGTGGTTCTTGTGAATTATGGAGGTAGAAGCTTCATTGTTGTGCTTACGCTTATCATCGAAACTAGGGTTCGTCTCCCAATTCATGTGGCTCACAATCATCCAAGGGTCAACTAAATCGATTACTTGGATTACAAGGCATAAACCATGGTTCTGATGCAAGAGAATAGAGTTTAGATTTTCGCTCCATCAATTAGAGATCTGTGTATCGTGTTTCAAAGTTACTTTATGGTTAATTTTGGGCTTGGGATATAAAGCATCTGGGAGTTAAGATTCAATGTTGAGTCTATGGGTTCATTAATCAAGAACGCCATTTGAAGCTACCTGAGATTCAACTTGTCATGAACGTTTGAGTTGCAGATGAGAATTGATTTAAGATGAACATGGAATAGAAGGTTTTAATACGGTCCGAGAATAATTCACTTAACTTGCTTGGAGAACCAGTTAAAAGTGGTGTTTTATTGATTGAGGTTAAGGTGTTCGCATCCAATAAAAGCTAATTTCTTTTGATCCTTTTGGTTAATTCTTCAAGCAGTGAAGTGAGGAATTAGGGTTTGTAATCCTTTATGGCTAGACTTGGTTGGGTTTTCGTCTGAGGTGTATTTCTAAATACAATCAAGTGATTTTCTCAAGGATGAATATTTCGATTTAAGATTTTCTTTATAGAGGACGGATAAAGTCATCTTCTCGTATGGGTTTTTCATCCTTTAGTCAAGTGTGATTTATCTGATAATGGCTATTGGAGACTCGTCTTTCATCAATTCAAGGCATGCTTGTTGTTTAAATCACAAGGTACTGATTGTGGCGTTAATGCACTAGATTCATTTGTTCTTTAGCCAATCAATAAAAGTTGGATACATCATGATCCTAGGTACATTGTCTGATTAGTTTTTGTTGCTCAAGACTCAATTCGTGATAATTGGTACGAGACAATCCTTTTAGGATGTTCATTCGAAGCCTCTGGGTTTAAATTGGGTTGCTAAAGTCCATAATTGAGAGCTCTTTAGAATGTTGAGGTTTTAGCAAAGGAAGTGCATTTCGTTTAAGCATCACTCAAGATTACATCTAATCCCATTCAAGTTTCTACTTTAAATACGTGGAATGCACAAAAGTGAGAAATTAATACTCCAAAATAATTTGGATTGTTTGACAAATATCTTGTTGAACTTATATCATGATCACAAGATTTTATGTGAGATATTAATCAAAGTAAATCAGACTTTCAAGTTCAATTTGAAAGATGAGAATGCTTTGAATAATAGGTATTTCATCATTTGACGTCAAGAGTTCGTAAGGTTACATAATCCTTTAAGTTGCATTCGTATCTTCATTCAAATTCCATTTTGCCATTACAAGGAGACCACAAACATTATTCCATCACCATTTTCAAAGAGAAAGGAAACTGTATATGATTACATTCAAAGTGCATCAAATACTTGAAAAAATCTACATAAATATATGCCTATCCCTAACACTAATCTTCATTTTCAATGTTCTTCATGTTTTCTTTTCCAGACTGTTCAATAACTTCTCCGTTTACATATAATACTTCTTCAATTATCTTCAAGTCCTCCATGATCAAGGTAACTTTGCAATTTAGTTCTCACCCTTAACGTCAAGCCTGCATGCTGCATATGATTAGCAGCCATCCAAAACCAATTCGGAAATCAAAGCTATCTTGCAAAACAAAATAGAAAGAAAAATCAGAATTGGCAGCTCAGCTTATGAAAAGAGAAACTCAAGAAAGAATATAAGAAATATAAGCAGGAGAATAAATCAGAAGGAAGGCGTAAACATTTTCCAGCTTAGTGAATAACCAAAAAATCAGGGACTCAAAATATCAGAATTTATAGCTCAGTATCAATCAGATCTTGACCATTCATTGTTATAACCAAATTCAGATCCAAGGGCTATTATTCATCAGGATTCTAACTTCCCTAAACTAATAGAAACAATTGAGCATCCAAAACTTTCTAACAGAAACAGTTTTTAACAAACCAAAAACCACAAACAGATAAACTAATAGCTCCAACTAAGAGAATTCCCTAACTGTTTTAACCTTCTCTCCAAACAGCACTGCAAACCGTCAACAGAGAAAAATATCACTCTCCTAACTCTTAATTGTCTTCTAACCAACTTCCCTAACTGCCTACAACTTCTAAGCATAACTAACTATAACCACCCTTCAACTCCCATAACAGATTCCAATCTTCTAACAATCTTCAAACCAACTTCTAACAAACTTCAGAAAAAGAATCAAAACTCTCAATAGAATTCAACAAACGGTAACCGGAAGAGAGAAGAGGGATTCACAACAATCATTCAACACACAAAAAAAAGGCTTTCACGGAAACTCACCTTGAAGTTCTTCATTCTCCAAGTTATGAAGAATCACACCAAAAATCTCGGAGAACTCTCTTATCTCTTCTAAACTGAATCATCATCTTCATCACACAACTCTCAATCACTATCTCACCTTACTCTCCCTGCATCTCGAAACCCTCAGTCACCTTCAACAAATCTTCACCACCAACCGTCACTCCTCTGTACATCATAACCAAACTCTATTTATCTACCTCATCACCGTGAACCTGCAACAAGATCGCAACGATATTACAGATTTCTAATGGCTAATCACGCTCTCATTAACGCAGAAATCACTGAGAAATGAAGAATTGAAGAAAATTTGGATGAGAGAAGAAGTATACGTACCTGAATCAGGTTTTTGTGGTTTTCTCGTCGTGTTCATCAAATCGAAGAAGCATCAGATGTTTTTTCGATCGGTAAGTCTTCCTCAACAATTCCTCTAGCGATTTTTGTTGTTTCTCTTAGATCACGAACTGAAACGTACGACAAAAATGGAGCAAGACGAAGACGAGTTAGAGATGAGAGTCTAAGGTGAAGTCAGACGAATCGCAAATGGAAGCAAACCAGTGCTTAGCTTGATATAAGAACCATAGCGGATAACTCTACCTGAGATGAAGGGTTAGCCACCACGGATTTGGATCAGAAAGTAGAAGAAGAAAAAGTCATGCAGATTCAAAGTTAAGAGAAGTACACCTGAATCGCATTTCTCGGATTTTTCTTTGATCTTGAAGGATCGCCGGAGTTCTCCGATAGGTGAAATCAATTGGATCGGAGGCGAGCGAAGTTGTTGAGCGAGGTTAGGACGAGATCAGTGGAGTTGTGTTAGTGAGGCTCAAAGCAAAAAGTGGAGGTGAATCCTTTGATGACGGTGGAGACAATCGATTAAAACGATAGACGGTGGTGGAATTTCCTGGTTTTGTCAAAGGAGAAATTATCGCTGCTTGGAGAGCCAAACGTGGCGTTTTGTGTCTCCGCCTTTTCATTGTTTTTTATTATTTTTATTTTTTTGATAGTGATGATATTTGGAGACCAAATTTGGTGGACAATGGATTGTTAAATCTGATTTGGTGTTGGAATTGGGTCAAAATGTTGTTCCCTGAGCCCATTGATGATAATTTCTTTGGTATAAAATTTTTTGTGGACTCTTAAGCATGGGCCTTAGCGCCTCTTTTTACTACTATGATACACCCCTGGATTTCTTCCAAGTACCCCCTTTGAGTTTTGGTTTTTGTTTTAGTTTCTTTTTTATTCTTTTTATTTGATTTCTGGTCTCATTCCTCTTTTGAATTTCAATAACTGAAAATGATAAAAATAATAGAGTATGATGAAATTATTCTAGAACTTCTTTTTTTAAGATTTTGCTTAGAAATTTTTTTTACTATGGTTTATGTTTAATAATCATTTTGTTTCTTGAAATTTGTGATTCACCTTTGCTTGTTCAGATCTGGAATCTTATGCAGGTTTATTGTGTGATATGCGGATATGCTCGAAATTTCGATTGTGATTTATTTTCACATCGATGATACTTCAAAACTTATTCCAAGCATTCGATTTCTGACTCTTTTCTTTGGTTGATGAAGCTTTTCGCGGAGACCGTCGGATTTCTTTGTTTTGATACGCTTTGCTACGAATTGATATCCATTTGGTATTTTCTCTTGTTTATCTCATTTCACACTTTACTGCTTTCTAGATATCATGAGAAGTAGGAAATAAAGAGTGTGCGCTCGAAGTCGCCGTTTAAAGGCCTGTAGCGGGCATTCCGCACTTCATTTGTTATATGTGTTGTGCTTGTGTTTGTCTCCTTGGTTGTTGATCGATGAGTCATTAAATTTAGAAATTGAGATCACAACTTCACTCTCAATGCATGCTTCCTATAGGATTTTATCGCTTTCCTTGATTTCATGTCGATCGATGAGTCACTCAATTTAGAAATTAAGATCATGACTTCACTCTCATTGCATGTTCCCCATAGGATAGTTTTTATTAGACTTTCTTAGGTAATGCTAGCATAGATAGGATCTCTCTAGTTATGCTCTCTTGGGCTAGCTCTCTTGAGTTTATTGGCTTGCTTGATTTCGTCTTTGTGTGCATGTTTTGAGATGACATACCCTCGACATGTTCCCTTAGGAGCTTTTGATTCAACTATAGATGATGATTCGAGATAGACATAGTTTTAGGTGATAGACCCTTGTTATGCTCCTTTAGGACTTCTTGATTCATCTATAAATGATGATTTGGATAGACATTATGATCATTGTCCAAGCATGTCAACATAGGGTAGAGATTTCCCTTCAAAACTCAACCTTAGGATCAATCATTGTTTGATAACATTAGGGATAGAGATAGGCTAGTCTCCCTTAGATGTTTTCATTTCTTTTGCATCCTTGCATTTAAAACAAAAACTTTCTCTTTCTTTGAAAAATATTAAAACATCTAACAACTTCTAAATCCTTCTTCAAGGTAAAAAATATCAACCAATGCAAACTCTTTTTGCGCCTTCAGGTCTTTTATTTCAAACTTTTTTCAGAAAGAACATGCTGATTCACTTTTGTGCCAACGCATAAGTCTCCAAAGGTCGAGTTGTGGAAGAAGGCAAAATTAATATTGTTCATTAAAAAATACAAACCAACAAAAACTTTTGAAGCCGAACTACGACTGCTATGATTCCTTAAAAGGGATACGTAGGCATTGGGGTAGGGCCCGAGCGAGCACAACTTTTATTTTCCTTACATACTTTTCTCTTTTCTTTTGCATGCATTCCCTGTACATCTTAGATTTAGATTTTTAGACACCCATTAGATTAGAACAATAAGAGTGGATACCATAGAGTACTATGGGCGTGTGGGGGTGCTAATACCTTCCCCTCACGTATCAGACTCTGTTACCCGTATCTCTTGGTCGTTCAACCTTGATTTCACCCTTCTTAGGTTTACTCGATGTTTACCTTTCCCTTCTTGTGGGATAAAAAAACATCTGATGGCGACTTCATTGATTTTATTATCAGTTGATTGTTCATCCGGTTATTTCAATGGGTTAGGAGCATTTCTTGAGGAATCATGATCAATCCTTGATCAAATGATAGATATCACTTCAAAATGTTGATGTTGACCAAAAATTTTGAAGTTTGACTGTACATAGGCCACAGTTGACTTTTGACCTAACATAGTTGATTTTCCAATACTTGAGCAATTGACTGAGCAAACTTGTTGAGTAAGGCATGAAACTTGGCATGGATGATCTTGAGGACATATTAGGACAATGGAGAACGTTTGGGATCTTTGGAGCTCAATCATCTTGATGAAAATTGAAACCCTAGTTGGGGGCTCATTGCCTTAGGAGGAAAATTGTCTGGTCAAATCTTGGTCAACCTAGGGAAATTGAGAACCTCTAGGAGTATGTCTTGTGTGAAAATGGGAGGGAAAATTTTGGGGTACAACAGCTACCCCTGTTCAATCTTCTTAAACCTGAAGATGTAGATTGGTTGGTCTGCCTTTCGTGATCTGAAGGTGGAAGATGATTGAACACTAGAGTGCCCAGAAATTTGCACTCGTCTGAAGTGATACTTGACTGTGTAGGTAATATCAGGAATGGGCTTATAGATGCCATTTGGAAAAGATGATAGGATATTGTCGGAGATGGGCTTAAAGATGCCATCCAAAATAGATGCTAACTTCATAAAAATTCTCTTTATGGGGATTCCTGTTCCTGCTGTCCGAGGAGGAGTCCGCTGGGGAGTTTTTTTAGGGGAATAAAGTCTAGGAGCTTTGGTTGTCCATTACTCTACTGGGGAGTCATCTCTTGACTGAAGAGACGGAAGTGAACTCTATCTGGTAAGGATCCAGGCTTCGTAGTGACTTGCTGATGATGATAAGGCTGACTGTTATCTGATCGTACTCCAGGCTTCACAGCGACTTACTGGGGAAATGAGATTAAACTGTTGAATCAATAACAAATCAATGGTCGATTCGAACTAAACCAACAGAGGTTTTGATTTATCTTTGACTGGATAAGAATCAGAAAAATCTTAGTGTTGATTTAATTGAACTAGAAAAAGGTCTACCGGAAAAGAATCAGTAACAAATAAATGGTCGATTTGAACTGAACCAGCAGAGGTCTTGGTTTATCTTTGACTGGATAAGAATCAGAAAAATCTTAGTGTCGATTTACCTGAACCAGAAAAAGGTCTTGGATTATCTTCAACTAGAATAGGAATCATAGAGATCTTAGTCTCGATCTAACTGAACCAGAGGAAAATTTTAAATTAACTTTAACTGGATAAGAATCAGAAAAATCATAGTGTCGATTTAACTGAACCAGAAAAAAAGTCTTGGATCATCTTCAATTGGAATAGAAATCAGAGAGATCTTAGTGTCGATCTGACTGAACCAGAGAATGTCTTGAATTAACTTTGACTATATAAGAATCAGAAAAATCTTAGTGTCGATTTAACTGAACCAGAAAAAGGTCTTGGATTAACTTTGACTGAAATGGAAATCAGAAAAATCTTAGGATTGATTCAACTGAACCAGACAAAAGTCTTGGGTCATCTTCAACTGGAATAGGAATCAGAGAGATCTTAGTGTCGATCTGACTGAACCAGAGAAGGTCTTGAATTAACTTTGACTGGAATGGAAATCAGAAGAATCTTAGGATCGATTCAACTGAACCAGACAAAAGTCTTGGAATATCTTCAACTGGAATAGGAATAAGAGAGATCTTAGTGTCGATCTGACTGAACTAGAGAAGGTCTTTAGTTAACTTTAACTGGAATGGAAATCAAAAGCATCTTAGGATCGATTCAACTGAACTAGAAAAAATGTTGGAATATCTTCAACTAGAATAGGAATCAAAGAGATCTTAGTGTCGATCTGACTGAACCAGAGAAGGTCTTGAATTAACTTTGACTGGAATGAAAATCAGAAGAATCTTAGGATCGATTCAACTAAACCAGACAAAAGTCTTGGAATATCTTCAACTGGAATAGGAATAAGAGAGATCTTAGTGGCGATCTGACTGAACCAGAGAAGGTCTTTAATTAACTTTTACTGGAATGGAAATCAGAAGAATCTTAGGATCGATTCAACTGAACCAGACAAAAGTCTTGGAATATGAATTGGAATAAGAATCAGAGAGATCTTAGTGGCGGTCTGACTGAACCAGAGAAGGTCTTTAATTAACTTTGACTGGAATGGAAATCATAAGAATCTTAGGATCGATTCAACTGAAGCATACAAAAGTCTTGGAATATCTTCAACTGGAATAAGAATCAGAGAGATCTTAGTGTCAATCTGACTGAACCAGAGAAGGTCTTGTGAGGACATCTTTCTGAGGAAAATCCTGAAATAACCCTTCGTTAGACGTAGCTTTTGAGAAGACTACCAGGTCACATAAGTAGTCAATGGTGTTTGTTGATTTGATCTTTTCCATAAAAAAGGAAAAGAGTTAGTCATATGCAATATCATGATGGATGAAATGCATTGTGGTGATGTTCTCAAAATAAATGAGGTTATGATGTATGCGATGTGTATGCGCATGCCACGATGTATGAACATGGGATACTATTGCGATATTTCCCAATCTGGGAAAATAAATCCCTAACTGCTGCTGGAGAGTATAAGGAGGTTGAATCCTTCATTTTCGCTGGGGATGATGAATGGATATGATTTTCCGGGGATTTTCTCTTTCTGTTTGAGGATGTTCTGCAGGGGATTGACTTTGCTTGAGAATAACTCTGTGGAGGGAGATGCTTTATTGGAAGATTTTGCCGATGTAGAGAAATAAACTCTATTGGGGAATGAACTTCCGCAGTCTGAGAAATAAACTCTAACCGGGAGGAGGTTTTATAAACTGTTTAAGGTTATAAAGCTCGGCTGGGGAACACAAATTTCAGCTCTCTGAAGGAACTTGGCTGGAGGAAGAAATTCCTGCTTGGGGAAGAAGAGGTCAAAACTTTGGTTGTTTCCACTTTGTGGGGAACATAAGT